TAGTTAAAATTTGAATGATTTTTATTAGAAGTAATTATTAATTTTTATATTAAGATACAAATCTTTTTGCACCAATCCATATATAAATTTATTAAAGATATTTATTTTCTTTTTCATGATATTTTTCAAGTTTTCAAGCAATTCTTAAGTTATATTATAAAGAGGATAGCTGAGTTATTTAATAAGATATTGAAGTTTTCAATAATAAATTCTTTTATCTAGAATATTCTTAATTTTATTATATTCTTTATTATTTAATATAATAATAACTAATAATAATTAATATTTATTGAATTTATTATCTGAATTCTATTTTTTTAATAGTAATATATAAAATATTAGCTATAATTTTATATTTATTAATAATTATAATTTATAGATAATAGAAGATATTTTTGTGATAATTTTAAAGAATTTAACAAATTTTAATATAAGTTTTTTGATTATTTTTTATTTATCTACAGGATTATTTATATTACAAGTAGATAAAAAAACTTTATTTTCAAGATTGAATTCTTTATATCTTTTATTTTGATTTATATATTTGTCTTGCTTATCTTATAATTTAAGTAATAGATCTTTAGTAATCTTTATTATAATATTTCAATATTTTATAAAATTTTGTGATATTATAATATCATTCTGAATAATAAAATATTAATTAATATATAAGATATTTGATTATAATCCAACTTAAATAATGTATAATTAGTAAAAGTATTCTGCTATTATTATAAGTGAATTCAGCTGTTACTAGATTTTTATTTTATTTATTTTGCTAATATGTTGAATATATCCTAAGTATTTCTTCTAGGCTTTATTTAATCTTTCTGTTTGATTATTAGATTACAGATAAAATACTATTAATATTACCAATTCTATATTTAGTTATTCAAATAGTAACTTTTAAAATTTACTTATAAATTTTGCATCTCTATCTGATATTATAATTATAAATAAGTTATAAAGTTAAAGATATTTTTAAAGAAAATCTTTCAATATCAAATGCAGTTGCTATTATAATAGTAGATATGAAATGCATTTTTTTGATAATTTATTAATAAATATAACTATAACATCATATTCAGACTTGATAATTAGGAGTTATATTATAAAATTTATAATAATATATTTTTATCTATATTTCAGAATGATGAGAAACTAAAGTAATTTAGAGAATTATTAATTATTACTTTTATTATGTTAATAGAATTTAACTGATAATATATTTATGAATGCTTTTATTCATTTTGAGCTAGTAGAATTATTGAGATACTGCTGCATGTATTTTATCTATATCAATATATCTTGCAATTATTACATCATAAAATTCAAATAATATCTTTATCTTTAAAATTTTATCATCAGGTATGGCTATATGATTTATATTTTTCAAATATAGCAAATCTTCTTTTAATTTAAAATATTTTATCTTGATCTGTTACTTTGATATTGTATTGTTAAAATTTTATTAAGACTTTATATATTTCTGCAAAATATTTATCTTCTTTATATTTCTGTATCAACTCTTCTTTATTAATAAGACTAGTGATAATAATTGTGATATTTAATAAGTATGATTATTGTGAAAGTGCATCTGCAATAATATTATCTTTACCAAATTTATATTTAATTTCAAAATTACTGGCTTGTAATATTTTTAATTAGCAAGCTTGTCTTTTAGAAATATTATTTAGCATCTTAATGTATTCAAGAGAAGCATGGTCTGTAATAACTGTGAACTTTTGTTCTTTAAAATATGACTTTTAGAGTCTAATAGCATGTATAATTACAAGTAGTTTTTTTTATAAACCAGATAGTTTTGTTCTATCAGTAAAAGTTTTCTTGAAATTACGTTAACCATATTTCAAAAACTCGAGGTTCGATGTACGGTTTCTTAAGATAATCATTTTATATGGTTCGTTTCATCAAGCGTCAGCGAGTGCTACTGCAAAATATTTCGATTGCGCCATCAGAATTTTCTGAAAGAGCTGATTCTTACCAACGATAATCGAATAATTGGAATTTTTATAAAATTCATCAAGTCTGGTGTCTTTTTATTATTTTTTTTAATGATCCTTTTCTCGTAAGCGAGTTTAAGTTAGTATAGTATCATTGTTGATCAGACACACTGCAGCTTTTTATGCCGCCAGACAGATGTTACGAATATACTAAAAATGTTTAAAGAACTTTTTCCTTCTGAACCATTAATTCTTAACTAATGTATTTGATAAAGTAGCATGACAATGTCAAATATGTGTTGTTTACTCTACTATAAATATAATAAATAAGAACAACAATATAAAAATAACGAAGAAAAACAATTTACACAGGTACAGCTAAATTTTTCAATCCAAAAAAGTTTCGTCCTACTTAGAAAGGCTACTGTATATATACATAGATTTATCTATAATAAACAAAGGCCGAAATATCATATAAAATATTTTATGTACATGTAATCACAATTTCAATCATCATATATTATACGTCCCAATTTATTATAATCTCTTAGAATTTTAATGATCTCCGGGTTCAATCTAACTTTATCAACTAACGAGATCCGAATTGGTGACGAGTTATTTTGTTGTCGTTCACAAAATGCTTGCCATATTTCGGGAGTATAATTCCAGTGTCCGTGAATAGAGCAGCTTCTTAATGTTGTTGGAGCATTATCAGCAATCGCGGTAACAAGTCGTTCTCCATCTTGAACGCCACCATCTTTTGAAATCAACATTATTGAACGCACGTGACGACATTTCGAAAACAAGGAAGCTAAGCAGGAAGCATCATCGGATCTTATTGGAATCACTAGTTCAACTATACGCGGACAGTACTCTCCGATGGTTTTAATTAGCGTATGGATATTTTCAGGATCATATGTACCCCATTGCAGTCTTAAAACTTCCATTCGTCCTGTAGTTGTCTGAATGATTCGACTTAATCTTTCTAAATCGAATTTATTTTGTAACTTAACGTCAAGCTTTTGAAGAAATGGAAACTGCGCATTCTCTAAAATTGAAAAAGTATCCTTAGGGATCTTACAATACAAATTGAGAACTTTGAGATTTTGACATTGAGTCAATGTATCCGGAGATATGCTCAAAGTATCAATGCATTCAATATGGGTGATTGTCTTTGTGTGCATTTGCAATGCTTCATCGAATTTAGAGTTTAGTCGATCGCCGGCAAGTATTACCTCTTTGATGCCACGTTGAGTGCGAATAAGCTGAATTAAACCTTCACTTTCATTATTCAAAGAAACGTCAAATGCTTCAATATTGGTTCCTGATTGTGAGAGTGAATAAAATGTAGAATCTGGGATTTCATGTGGAAAATAGCATACAAAAGACCTAATTTGTTTCATAAAATTTTGTGCATTTGGTAGCAGATGAATTGGAATCTGTGCACCATCGTCATATTGAGAAGATGTTTGAGACAAGACAAATTTAGAAAGTCGTTTTCCACGTCGAACTAATAATTTCAGTATCTCTTGCGATAAAGTAAACGTTTTTCGATCGAGCTGTGTTGGTGTTGCTGTTGCCGTTATCGGTATGGAATGATCAATCCATTCTCGTACAGCCCAGCTCAAACGTTGTGGCTCTAATTTTTGGATAAGAGCTGGGTAATCGAATAATGGTTTGCTTTCAAGCTGCTCATTTGGTAATTCGATCCCGTTTTCTTGAAGCAGTTCTTTCGAATCATACGATAGACATGTTATTAAAGTTCTGATAAGTTGAACGCTTCTTTCCTCTTGAAAAATCGCGCCCTCTTTTCGTTCGAATGGTTTTTGCCATATTAACCTTATGATACATTCACACCATGACCAATTTACAAGCAAATAATTGCATAGAGGAACTTCATTGGCCTGGCATTCTGCAAAAATCTGATTTAAACAGTCTTGTGGTAATTTTGTCGCTGCCATTTTCACCATGTATGCGTTATTTTTATTTAGAACTTATTTGGCAACACGTAGGAAAATAAGAAATAGTGTGATGAGAGAAATAATGTGGACAATTTGAATTTATAGAAGACACCTAGAAAAAAAAGCCAGAAATTTAACACGAATTACATGAACCTTACAGTATTTATAGTGTGTCGTTATAATATGAACAACGCATAATATTATCGTTATCAGCTTCCATTTCGAGAATAATCTATTACATATGCAAACCAATTTCGAACGGCGGTGAATTTACAAAAATTTTTACACGCTCAATCAATTCAGTGACCGGTTATAGCCGGTTGATTCCTTGGAAAAGATCATCGATATTTCATTCTGCTGTGAGTAAAATCAATGAAACAATAAATTCCCATTTTCATGTCTATTTTTATTCAAATGAAAAATATGATACGAAATTGCGTCAAGGTGAAGAAACTTGATTAAAATACAAATACAGACGTGTACAACACGCCATTCGCAAACAGATCAACATGTATATGTACATATGACGATGCTAACCGCTTTTGCTCTCATTTTCAATTCATCTTTGTCGTGTATCTGAAATTATCACAAACCGAATCTGGACTGTTTAGAATTTTCCGGTGGAAATTGCCAAGTAAAATTCGTTTGACTCCCACCTCTTTTTTTTTTACATAGTCGTCTCCCTCTAAATGTACGTTTGTTTAACAACATGAGTATTAGGAGCTTGCACTCACTCACAGATTTTTCCTAGATACATGTACAATTTGTTTTGTGGACAATTTATGTTCGTTCGGGTGTTTTTTTATTACATCCTGCTCATATGACATTAAGGGGCGTGGAATTTTTGAATTCTTTATATATTTTTTCTATAATATCTGTGCCAGAATCATGCATGCATGAATATGAATAGCGGATACATGTAGAACAAACAAACGTTACAAACAGACAGATTTGTCTCTAAAAGAAAGAATCAAACAAGATCGTTGTCATCAATATTTTCGTAAGGGTATTCCGATCTCAAAGCACCCATGGTTAAAAATAAAACCTTCGATTTCGAGATCCTGTTTGTATCTATAGGCAGAGAACATTATCAATTCTATCTTCTCATCATTGTTACGCTTGTCGCTGACCACATCTGGTCCTAGAATTGCGAAACGTGAATCAGGACAATCTAATAATGCAGATAAGACTGAACATCAGGAAACTATTGAACGTGGTAGTACGACACATTAAATGTGTTGTTCAACAAGTTTTACGCTTTTTTCTCGTGAAGTTAGTGTAAAACAAACACTGTAAAAATAGAACAACAACTTAATACTTGTTTAATACAGTTCAATTAAGTTTTGCTAAGTAAAAAAGTGTAGGCAACATAGAGGCTGCTGAACAATGCCTTCAAAAATTTCCTTGTCAAACCTACACCATATGGTGGTGTTGTGTTGTACATACAATACGATAATTGATAAAGTTCGAATATTGAAAAATTTTATCTGAACTTTATTAGACTATGATTAACATGTATATGTTTAAACTTCTTAATTAAGAAATAAATATCAATTGAATAGCTTCAAACCTCTGTTGAGTGAATCTTTACCTTTCTAATTACATGCGCATGTATATAGCTACAAATGGATGTTGTATGCCAATTTTGGGAGCAAATACATGTTCGTGTACACGTATTTTGTGTATGCATGTACATGACATCATCGACTTATACAGTAAGTTTCACTCATGCACAATTTTACCGGGTATTGTGCTGCTTCATGCTAGTACCGGAAAATACTTCTGAATTTGAATGGCACCGATGCATCGTTTTGAGGAGAGGTTACTAGTTGAGGTGTATGTACAGTACCTTACGATTGAAATGATAGACCTACAAAGAGAGTTACCCCATATTTATAAGAATCAAAACCAATTCCCTATCGAGCAGTATAGATACATACTAATACAGTGTAACAAAAAAAACTGGATATTTTAATTTTCTCCATAAATATTTATTTAAATAACATAAAAATTTAAATATATATACTTGAGAGTATGATTAAAAAACTTTATTTGAACACTTAGCTTATTAAAATTTTTTATAATTTATATTTTTAAAATTAAGAATTTTTAATAATAAGAAAATTTAAATA